TAAATAATCTTTTAAATTATAAAATAAGTTGTTTTACAACAAATTATTTAAAAACCTGTATACCAATTACAATAAAAACATATCATTATATATATATAATACCTATATGTTTTCATTATACTTTATTAAATTTATAAAATTTGCATTTAGTATTTACCATCTTTTAATTGCACATTATGTATAGCCGTATAGGTAATTACAAGCTTAAACTTAAAAATAATTATTGCACACCTTTCCTTTAGTAAACTATTTAGATTTAGTGACACTTGAAACAATTTATTCAAAAAATTAAACAATCTTCAATTTAACAACAAACAATTCAATTGTTAATGAAATAATTCTATCATTTTTCAATTTTAAATAAAAAACATTTTTTTCATGCAACGAAAGATTTTGAACTCGGCAAATTAACAAAAAATAAAATATATTCTTAAATATGAAGATATGGGCTGAAATTCTTATATACCTAACCAAAATATATTCTACAAATCTTTTACTGTATAAGTTGTCCACATATACCTATCTTGTTTATCTGCAATCTGGATATGGTCGATAAATATAGGGTGTCCCGTGAGGATTTACTCATTGCGATATCTCCCGAAATAATGGTGATATCGAAATTCTGGTTTTGTAATAAGACTAACAGGGATAAGAACTACAATTATTTCATATCTTTATTTATTTTAATGTTTTGGTAAAAAAGTTAAAAAAAATATATTTTTATTTAATTATTAAATATTTAAAAAATTGACTATGACAATTTTGTAGAGTTTATTTTTCTGAAAATATTGTGTTTCAAAATGTTATTTTAATTAATTTCCTGATTTTTATTTATTTTTTAGTTTTGATAAAAATTGCAAAATATTTAATACCGTAATGGGCGTAATGTTATTAAACATGTGACTCACCGCGCCACGTGCTCACATACGACGGCCGATTATATTCCGTGTTCCTAATAGTTATAAATTATAAGATTTAAGAAATAAAATATGATTATAACTTATAATCGTATTTTATTTCTTCAAAACCAGAAAACAATTAAAAATCAGGTAATTAATGAAAATAACCCTTTATAATATATAAAATCCTAAAATTCGGCTTTATAATCGTATAACGGTACTTTAAATAATGTTATACAAGAATCTGTTGAACTCTATCGACCTTTATGATTTCAAATGATCATGTTATATTTAATTTTTACGATTWATGAATATGCGTACAAATTCATAAAATATCTAATTTTATATGGAATTTCAATAATCTATTTGACAAATCAATTCTAATACTCACAATTTTAAATTATGAAAATTTACTTAAGGCTTTATTTTCATAAAATAAATAAATAATAATTTATTTTCATATAAATTCAAGATATACTGCAATTGACTTAGATAATATGATTTTAGAATGGATTTTCAGACTTATTACAACGTTAAAATTTTAATTTTTCTAATAAGTTTTCCGTTTATTTATTTTTGAAATCCTCATTGCTAAATGTTGTAGCAGATAATATTATTTTATTAATATTTATCAAATAGTTAGGAATTTAATGTTGATATATTGAGTACTTTAATTGCCTTTAATAGAGTACAATCCCAAATGAAAATAGTATTATTTAGYCTTATGTATTTTTGTTTCATACATTTTTTTAAATTAAATCTAAACAAATTTCCAATTTAATTTTAAAAACATAGAGTAAGAATTACTCTTATTTAATTGTATAAATAAGAATAATTCTTCTTCTATAACGTGGAAGTTTAGATTTTGAAATAAATAAGTTTACGTAATTCTACTATAATATGAATGTTTGAGGTAAATAGTACCTATACCGTGATATTAACAGTAATAATAAAATATTCGTTTAAATTATTATGTAAGTACATAAAATCAAACCATATGCGTACAATACCTATATTTATTAGAATACTTGAATTTTTCGTGCATGTATTTTGGTCGATTTAACACTACATCGTGTTCTGAATTGGTTTCTCAGCAATTTTTTTCCATCTCTACTCATCCCTCTGACCCAGTTCATCAGCCAACTGTGTATCGTGCTTTGCATATAAAATGTGTTTAGTATAATATACAGAAACCATCCCTCTTTTTTTAATCGATTCGATTCTACAAACCAAACCACTTGCGTGGTATTTTGTGTGTGAAAAATATAGAAGAAAACAATATCACATATTTGATTAAGAATAATAAAAAACTTTATCGGATATTAAAATTAAATTACTACCTATGGGTTTATCTATTTTTACTTTTATTTTTTTACCTACGGATAATTGTATAATATGTAAAAGTTTTTTTTATCTTGTTTGTAATACCATTGTATATTAATTGTTGCTTATTTTATTTATTTATTTACAGATGGGGTAATAAAAGAATTGTGCTTGATWGTCCAACACTTATGGCTAAGCAAATTGTCGTATCACATGTTAAAGATATTCAATTAGGCAAGAGGACCTATCATTATTTACTCAGTGGATTGGTAATAATTGATTAAATTATTATTTTATACGCTATAGTTTAATGTAACGCTTAAAGAGATTATGTTTTTATTAAATTAAGATATTTTATTAAATCTATATATTATATGCAATTTAAATGAATTTAAAAATTGGTATATTATTTCAGTACTCAGTAAGATATGTATAACATTAATAAATAATTATTAAATGGTGAATATAATCTATCTACTTATTTTTAAAGTTTTTATTATTGTTCTATTTTATATGAATATGTTTCAGAGATTTTAAAATGTATCGTTATAGAAATAATATAGGAAATTAATGATATAGGTATACTGTATAGCCTATATAGGTAACTACTATACTACAGAAATTATATTCTATGGAACTTTTTACTTGATACACTAATTCAGCACCTAATAATATAATATAATACTATTTGTAATTAGTGCATACATATAGTGACATTTTCAACTAACTTCACACACCTCTAGTTATTATGAATATTATGAGATTGTGGATTATCAAATCCACTTACGATTTTTAAATGGCGTGCAATCAGTTAGTTTTCCTTTTATTATAATGATTTTGGATATTATACGCATTCAAGTGAAATAGTTATAAATGGGAAAAAAGTCAATGTATATTTCAATATTAAAATTAAAATTAATAGTCATACATTTTAGTTGTACGTAAGGTATACACACATATATTTTCATTTATTACGATAACATTTATGCTATTTTAATGTTTTAAGAGCCGATATGAAAAAAAAATTCTATTGATTTATCAAAGTTGTAATTTGAATTCATGTAGGTACCAATTCTAAAGTTAAATAGAAATAGCTTTACCCTAGGTTTCTGGTATACTATAGTGCAGCAATCAATTCATTACATTCAAGTTTAATTTCATTTTAGAGTTTCCCCAAAATTCCATCGTGTTATATCGCTTGAGTTTATCTTTGTTACATGGAATCACTACTGATTAATTACAAGGTATCTTTGAAGTTAGTGATTCCATAAATGGATTGGGGGTGTTAAATTAATTAATTACGCGAACGTGTTCTTTAAAGTTTCCGTCAAAAGACAAACATTTTCGTTGACAAATTTATGTGTAAAGGAGAAGTTTAAATCCATTCATTAATAATTTTTTTTATGTACCTACCTACTTGAAAAAAATATTATCATTAAAATTTCTTATAATTTATAAATAAACAAAAATAATTGAGGTACCTTTTATGGAATTGAGATAAGCAATTTAAGTCGATTATATATTAATATAGGTAMTCGTATTAATAAAACATTGGAATTAAAGCTGTTCTTTTTCATTATCTGAATATATAATTTGTTGCATATTCAGCATTTATATTATATGATATTACACCTATACTGTTTATACTAACAATAATCATAAGTATCATATAATAACCGATGGACAGTCCCCACCGATCGTAATATGATACTTATGATTATTGTTAGTATAAACAGTATAGGTGTAATATCATATAATATAAATGCTGAATATGCAACATAATTCATGAAGTAAATATATTGAATCCCTCAGTTTAATAGTTATACGAAAAAATGTGTCCTTTAAAAGTTACTGGAAAATATTTGGCGTGAAACTTTATTTATATATTTACAAGATAATTTACAAAGTATGTGTCTACTTGAGAAGTTATATAATTGTAGTATGGATCTTTTGTTTATTTTTTGATTTTAATTATAGTACGTAGGTATAAATTATTTTTCAAAAATGTTGGTTCTAGTTCTGATTTTTGAAAAATATTAATTAAGGGTTAGGGTCTGTACACCCAATGGTCTATGTTGCCGTGTGTTCCCTCTCTCTCTCTCCCTCTATATATATATATATATATATATATATACAATACAGCTTGATGATATAATTATAAGTACTTACTCTTTATAAGTAGTAAACATTAGGCACAAAAAAAATAATATGATAATAATAATAAAACATAAAAATAATAACCAATGTATTTTTTAATTTTAGATTTTGAGCTTAGCGAGGAATGTATTGGTATTACAATGATGTTTATTTCTTTTTCTTTTTTATTCTGTAAACACTWTTTATCCCTCTAAACTTGCTCAAAAGTATCAAGTGTAGCATCTTTTCTAAGAGGTAATGTTCTTGAGCTGGTACTTTAAAGATGCCATTTTTCGATTTTCGAAACGGTATTCGAAATAAAAGCGGTTAAAGGAGAAAAAAGTACGATTTCACGTTTTTATAATATTAAATAATTACGGACGACGTTTTTTTTTTAAAAAAAATTATAACAATATAATTAATGTAGTATAACATATCCTAGACTAATAAACCATCTCCACTCCGAATTGTATTTCGTATACAATGATATTACATCATTGAATTCAAATTTAATACCATCCATTACAGTAATCCACTTGTAACCTAATGTACTGCAGAGCGACATCCACTTGTTCGCTTTTTTTTTATGAATTTTCTTTTGTATTAACAATATATTTTATTATGTATTTTATGGGGACGTGTTGTCTGTGATTAATGATAGTAATAATTAATAAATAATTGTCTTTCGATAGATAATGGATGATCATTGGGAGACAGAAGTTATCGAGTATGGTGCTATCAATATAACTGGATTTAGACTATTGGATATGAATCAATGGTCGGTTAAGCATTTTCTATCGGAGTGGAAAAACTTAGATCCTCTCACGTCACCTGGAGCAGGAAAGGACACGATTTCGGTAAAAATATTAATATTCAATACCAACACAATATATTATATACTTTATGCTTATAGTAATATAAATTATCATATAATGTAAAAATCCGACGTACTTTATAATTCATTAATATTTAAAATTTAAAAGTTTAAGATATCTTTTTTATTTGAATTAAGTAAAATGTATAAATAAATATGCATAACATATTTATTCTAAACATGAAGAAATAAATAATTATATTATATGTTACAAAATGAATTTGAATTTTTTTCATCATAATGCATTTTACTTTTAGTTTTACTGTTAGTTCTTTATAAATCATGCCCCCAAGGCCCCAAATTTAACAATAGGTAAGCATAAGTACATACAAGATGGCTTGTAATATATAAATATAGGTAAAAACACCCATTGGAATATACTCATATTAAAATTGAGTTTCTAAACAAGTTTAATATGTAAATCCTATAATTATTCTAGTATTATAAWCATTATTTTTATAGAAAATTAAAATTTATCAGTGTATTCTACTCTGCATTTACTATTTTCCTTCATTATTAATGTTTTTCTTTTGTTTTAATTGGATAAAAGTGTGCTGAATATTATTGTGGTT